AATTTGATGACGTGATGTTGACAAATGATTTCAAAATCAACGAATGTGATAAATGTGCTTATGTCAAGGGTACATCAAATACATTTGTGATTGTATGTCTATATGTAGACGATATGTTGATCATGGGGAGTAGCCATGAAGTGATCATGGAAAAAAAAGAATGTTGAAAAGAAATTTCGACATGAAAGATATGGGTTTGGCTGATGTTATTCTTGGAATAAGGATTATCAGAACTCAAGATGGAATTGTCTTATCACAATCTCATTATGTAGAGAAAGTGCTCAAGAAATTTGATACCTATGACGGTGCACAGTCTAGGTGTAAGACACCCATTGATCTCAGTATAAATCTGGAAGTCAACAAAGGTCAACCAGTGGCTCAGTTGGACTATTCACGGATAATAGGGAGTCTGATGTACTTGACGAATTGTACACGACCAAACTTGGCCTATCCGGTGAATAAGTTGAACATATTTACGAGCAATCCCAGTCATGAGCACTGGAATGCTTTGAGAAGGGTACTTAAGTACTTGAGGTACACCCTTGAATACGGGCTAAAATACTTGAGATATCCAGCCGTACTTGAAGGGTACTGTGATGCAAGCTGGATATAAGATTTGAGAGATTCTCGCTCCATTAGCGGATATGTTTTCTGTATTGGAGAAGGTGCAGTTTCGTGGAAATCCACAAAATAAACCTGTATAGCTCGGTCAACGATGGAATTAGAGTTCATCGCTTTAGATAAAGCTGGTGAAGAAGCCGAGTGGCTTAGAAATATTTTATCTGATATTCCATGTTGGGATAAGACTTTGCCGCCTGTAATGATTCACTGTGATAGCCAAGCTGGTATAGGTAGAGCGCAAAGCAACTTGTATAACGGTAAGTCTAGACATATTCGTCGTAGACATAATACCGTACGTCAATTGATCACAAATGGTATTATTTCCATTGACTATGTGAAGTCTAAGGAAAATTTGGGTGATCCTTTGACGAAAGGATTGAATAGAGATCAATTGACAGTTTTGCTAGAGGGAATGGGATTAAAAATCCACAATGTAAAGAATGATCATAGTGGTAACCCTACCATGCTGAGTGGAGATCCCACAAACTTGGTTCAATGGGAAAACTAAGCTATGTAAATTCAGTCGAACACTTGGACATATGAATGTCCAAAGCTATTCCTTAGAGCACACCAAGTGTAAGATGACCTGTTGATTGTGGTGAGGTTAACTCATGTGGACTTTTAATGAATCCTAACTTTGTAAAGGTGGAGTAATACAGGTTACTCTTGATAGGGAGATCACATATATAAGTGGGAAGTGTGGGCCGCTTCAAATGTAAACACTTATGAATCCATTGTGTTGTCCATGGCCAAAACAGACACAACGTTAGAACAGAATGGAGTTAAGACCCTATTGTGTGAATGTCATTGTCTCGGTGTACACTATGGAGGAATAGTTCAAGGCATTATGTCCACTAGGCCGCCAGTGCATCCGATGATGTTTACTAAGAAAGGTTCAAAGCCAAAAGCTACATTTCCTGATGCAATAGAGTTTTGTGAGGATTGAGCACAATAATTTGTATATATGTGTAATTCTTTATTTTCCCTTTTGTGGGGGATTGTTAGAAAAAGATAAAATAAATGGGGCTAAGAACATGCCCACCTGCCCACCAGCTACTCTCCCACATGTCAAGATGCTTCAATTGCACTTGCCCATGTGAATTTTCATTAAAATAAGAAAAAATTGGAAATTGCAAATTGGAGGGGAAACCGCGTGGAGTAGTTGGTTAAATTGGCCAACTTGATCAATATCTCCATCTATAAATACTCAGTTCGGGCAAGAGGAGAAGACGAACCAAACAGAAGCGAAAAATCTGAAAGAAAGAGAGAAGAAAGAAAGAGAAAAAGGAAGGAAAGAAAAATATATGTCCAAATATCGGATATAAAAATATCAAAAGAGAAGAAACAAGTGATATTTTTATTTGTTTCAGAATATTCCTTTTATTTCTAAGTGCTCAATTCTCGATTCCGTTCCCGTTCACCGGAGCTCGTAAATCTGGTGTGCTACAGATTTAGAGACGTTTGTCGTTGTATCTTTAGGGAAGTTACGCCTGAACCGTTAGCTGCCACACGGGGCGTATTCTTCTTGCGGAAAGAGTTTTACTCGCCTCGGCTAAAATCTTTCCGTTTTTCAGTTGTATTTTATTTTTCAGTTCAATTGTAATTTTCTATTTTTAGATTATTTGTAAGAACTGAAAATATATATCAGTTCGTAGGATTTCCTTGTAATTTTACACCAAATATCCAACATACATTTCTAGTTTCAATGTAAGACCCTAACTAACAATATATTCCGACATAATTTTGTAAACTTAAATTATTATTTTAAAATTTATATTTAAATACTTTTAGTAAAAAGAATATTAAATATCTTTTGTAAAATTACTTTATAATAAAATTAATTCATATAATTTAGATTTATACAAAAAGCTTAATGAAATTATTTTTAAATTTAAAAAAATAATAAAATCCAAATTTTAAGAGTGTATAATTTTAATATTATTATACATGATGATCTAAATATGTAATGAAACTAAATATTTAACTATTTAGATAAATTATTTTATTTTTTTCCAATTAATATTATTGAAGTTATTATTCGTCAATAAAATTTCTATTTTTAAAAATTTAAGAATATATAAAATTAATACTTCTAATAAGAAGTATTGAATATCTTGATAAAATTACCTTAATTAGTAAGAAAACTATCACATGCATGCAAATTTTTAGAAAAAAAAAAAAAAAATTTATTTTAAAAGTTCAAAAAATTGAAAATTAAATTTTAAGAATATATAATCTAAATATTAATTTGATTGATATATAAATATCAAATAAAAGTAGAAAATAAAGTATTTTAAATAATATTATGGTTTTTTTTTTCCAATCTTCCTTATTGGTTTTTGTAACTTTTTTTGTGTAATTTTACTTTTCCAAGCATCATCAATGGAAAAAATAAAGTTCGTCCACTAATTATACCCTAGTTGCACTTTTGTCATTTAACTGTTTTCGTTTTACTTTTAGTACACTATAATTTTTTATTTTTTTTGACAATTTTCGTTCAAATAGAGGTTCTGGTGCTCATTTTGCTGGAAAAGCTGATGGTGCGCCCAGTTGGATCCTATTTACTAATTTTCGGTGTGTTGTGGTAGAATTGTGCTTTCATCAATATATCCAGTTGTCACCAAAGATAGTAATAATAGAAATAATAAATAATTTAACCAAGCTATTTCTTCCTGAATCGTTCTACAACTGTTCTACAACACCTTAAATTGTAGCTACGCCGAGGAATTCTCACAGCAGTGGAGGCGGCGGTGAGTCGATGTTCCCAAGTCATTCTCCGGCAATCGAAATTCCGATAGTAATAATGAGCATCGGAACCTTTATTTGGACGAAAAATGTCAAAACAAAAGATAGTAGTGCACCAAAAGTAAACCGATAACAATTAAAGGACGAGAGTGCAACTAAAATATAATTAGTGGACGAACGGTGCATTTTTTTCCCATCATGGTGGACGAGGAAACACCATCGGACATGGTGGATATGTCTTATTTTCTTTAGAAGGAGAGAGAGAGAGAGAGAATCAAAATCACTGTAGAGTGCGCGAGCAGAAAGGACTGGTGCACCTCATTCCAATTCAATCAGCACACGACACCTCGACACTTGTCACCCTCCCATTCGCCGATCATACATACATACAATCCATACACAACACTGTATCTATCTCCAATCCCCATAAACACCTCACTTGGCCTTGCCTACAATTAATACATACATCTATACAATACAAATATAGATAGATAGATACAACGTATACATACACATACATACATACATTCGTTGTACTGTATGTATCCACAGTACTAAAAACCCTACAGAATACAGAGAGACGCGCCCGCACAAACACGCAGTGGGTGGTGAGAGAGAAAGACTGATGATCAGATTATTTGGGTCCATTAATGTCCTCTCCCTCCCTCCCTCTATCTCTCTCTCTCTCTACATGAATTCAACAAACTTCTCTCTGTTTCTATCAAAGGACACGATCCGCCTCTCCCGCCGCCCCCCCACCACCATAAAACCCTCGCTTTCTCTCTCCTCGCCACCTTTCTCTCTCTACCCCTCGCCGGATAAAGGAGAGAGATAGACAGACGGAACAGATGGAGGATCAATACGGTTTGCCCGATCTCCGGCGCTACGTCGCCGCCGGGACTAATTTCCTGCCGCCTGCGGCGGCGGACCTGCTGTCCGTCGGCCGAGGACTGGGCCAGCCACACCCGTACGGCGTCCTTGCGGCCGGAACCGGAGGAGCGAGTGGGGCCGTCGGCGGTGGGTGCTACGGAGGTTTTGAGGGCGGCGATGGTGGCGCCGGGAGGTGGCCGAGGCAGGAGACGCTGACGCTGTTGGAGGTGAGGTCGAGGTTGGATGGCAAGTTTAAGGAGGCCAACCAGAAAGGCCCCTTGTGGGATGAGGTTTCAAGGTAATTAATTCATTAATTCGTTAATTTAAATTAAAAAATATTCCTTTTATTTATTTATTTATTTATTTTGTTTGATGAAAATATAGAATTAAATTATTTTAATCCAGTCTCTAGGTTTTCTTGAAAAAGAAAAATGAAATAAATTAATTGAAGATTATAGAGTATTTTCTTTTTTTTTTTTAATTCAATTGATATCTAACAAAATTGAGTCTTGGCTAGTATATGAGATGATCTGGCTAATTTAGATTAAAATTCAATCTTTATATTTATTTTAATTTATGCCACAAGTTTTAAAATTAATACATTCTTGGAAAAGTTTTGGGGTTAAGAGATTTTTTCCTTCTATTTTGTTCTTGTTCTTGTTATTGTTATTCCTCTTCTCATTTTTTTTATTTTTTTTTTTTGCTGTATTCCTATTATTTGAGTTTCCAATGTGGGATAAAACAATCAATTTTTTTTTTATTTTATTTTTTTATCATGATTAAAAAAAGAAAAAAAAAACAAAACTATAGACGCTAATTAAAAGTATATATTGAAGTCCAGTTCATAATAAATCTACTTTAATCATCACACCTATTTCATCTTGGAATTTTTTTGTCTATAAAATGATACCCAAAAGACTGTATCTTTCGGGAATACCTTTAGCCAACTTTTCGCCTGCAAACTCAAGGCCAATCTTTTTGGTGTTTTTTAGCAAAATAATTTTTTCCTTTTTGTTTTTGGACTTAATTTCATATTTCAAAAAAAAAAAAAAAAATTAGCACATAATTATTCAACAGTCATTTTATTTTCACCTAATTTGGGTTTGTAATTAGGAAAATGCTATAGTTCCGTTACCGAACTATTCCGTCAGGGTTTGTAACAGTTAGATCAATTATCCCGACGGTTACATGATGATCTATCGGTTACAAACCGACGAAATGGTTTCGTAACGGGATTGTAACATCTCCACATGAATAAAAGAAAAAAAAAATCAATATCATATCATATGAAGCCTTTTTCTAAAGACCCTCTTTCCAAATGAAACTAGGGTTCAATCTCTCTTCAAACATTTCTTCTCAAAAAACATTCTTGCTGAAATAAAAATTGCATCTTTTTTCCTTGTAATATACTTCTTCTTTACTCAATTTCAAACTCATTAGATTGATAAAAGAAAAAAAGAAAAAATGAGAGAAAAATATTTCCTTTTTTCATCTAAACTCAGGATAATGTCTGAAGAACATGGCTACCAAAGGAGTGGCAAAAAATGCAGAGAGAAATTCGAGAATTTATACAAATACTACAAGAAAACGAAAGATGGCAAAGCCGGCCGGCAAGACGGTAAGCACTACAGATTCTTCCGGCAGCTCGAAGCCCTTTACGGCGAAAACAACAACAACAATTCGTCGGCTTCAGTCTCGGAAGCCCATCATCATAATCATCATCAACAACCTCACTCAATGCCAACGAGCTTTCACTACAATTACCCGAAATTCTCGGACAACACCAGCCTAAGCCTCTCGAACTACTCCGAACCCGACACGACCTCGACGGACTACACGGACGAAAATGGGCCCAAGAATCCGAAACGGGCCGGTAAAACGGGCTGGAAGGCAAAAATCAAGGACTTCATAGACCTGCAAATGAAAAGTCTGATGGAAAAACAGGAGGCTTGGATGGAGCAGATGATGACCACGATCGAGCGAAAGGAGCAAGAGAGGGTGCTGAGGGAAGAAGAGTGGCGCAAGCAGGACGCGGCCCGGGTAGAGAGGGAGCACCAGTTTTGGGCCGGTGAACGGGCCTGGATCGAGGCCCGGGATGCAGCTCTCATGGAAGCCCTACACAAGCTCACGGGGAAGGAGTTTATGGCAGCGGCAGATTTACGGGGTGAGAATGTGGGTTTAGCTGTGAGGGGGGAAATGTGGCCGGAAAACGGGTTTTGGGAGGAAATGGGTGGGAATAACAGTTGTGTGGTGGTGAAGAGCGGGAAAAGAAAGAAAGAGGAGTCGAAAAGCTGCGATTTTTACGGTGGTGGTGATGGGGTTTATAGTGAAAATGCTGGAGTCGAGCCGGTTATGAGGCTGAACAACGATCAAAGTAATTCGTCCCCGAGTAATAATAATAACAATGCTATGAATGAGAGCTGTTTTAGGTACTTCATGGGAGATGGTTATGGAAGGATTATGGACTGATGAGAAAATTGTGTTTGAGATTCAGTGTAGTGTTGTGTGATTCTCTGGGGAATTTGACTATGGTGAGTTAAAAAGGAGATGACTTGGGGTAGTTTTTAGTTACCATGGTAATTTTCTTGATGATGGGTGGTGGCAACTGAACTGAGGTGAGGTATGTGAAGATGTGGTTTTTGTTTGTTCAACTCTATCTCACTCTATCTCTCAAGGTGTAATTTAGTTTGTGTTCATTAAATTCTTGTAGATTGCTTGAGAAAACTTGTATGCAAAAACTGATTATATTTAACATGTGTGTTTGGATGGACACAAATTATTATGAGGGTAATCAAATTGGACAGTTATATTATTATATGGATAAATATATGTATTTATATATTAGTGTGATAGCTTATGTATGTATGAAATTAGTGTGAAAGAATGCTTATGTATGTATGAAATTACTGTGATAGCTTAATGGATATGTCATATGTATTAGGGCTGAGCATGGGACTCGGAGAATTCCGAGCCGTTCTGAAAACCGAACCGAAATTACTCCGAACCGAAAAATAACCATTGACCATTTGACTTTCCCGAACTGAACCGAACCGAATCGAAAAAATAATTAGTACGGTTCTGGAGATTTCACAAGTATCCGTACCGAGAACCGAACCGAACCGGTCCATACCATACCAAACCAAAGAACCGAAATTAAGAACCGAATTATAACATTAGATGTGTTATTAATATATTTTATGTCACATTTGATCCTTTATAATATAGTAATAATAACTATTAACCTTCACTTAACTTTCATGCTTAGTAATACTTGATCTACAATTGAATTTTTCTATTATAAAATAATTATTTAAAATAATATGAAAGGTTAAAAAATATTTTTTTAGAAAAAATATTATATTTTGTTTAAATTTTAAATTTTCAATATTAGTTGCACATATTTAGTCTTAACTAAAATTTAGAGTACTTCTAAAGTTGATTTCAAAATAAAAAATTTAATATGAGGAAGTATTGATAAATGTTGGTTTTGTTAAAGCATATAAAAATTAAATAACTAAAATTTAGAGTTACTTCAAAAATTGATTTCAAAATAAAATTTTCAATATGATGAATTATTGATGAATGTTGTTTTTTAAAGCATATAAAAATTAAAATATAACTAGGTAGTCATTCAAAAAAAAATCTAAAAAAATAAGAAATCTCCGAAAATGCGAACCAAACCATACCGAACGGTACCGTCCCAATAGTCCCGAATACCGAACCGAAAAATATAAAACTCCGAACCGAACCGAACCGACTTTTTTGTACGATTCTGGAGATCGAATTTTGAGATCTCCGAACTTTGGTACGGTTCTGGAGATTTATCAATCTGCGAACCGTACCGACCCACGCTCACCCCTAATATGTATGACTAAATGAATGCTAATGAATTCAGGAAAAATTGTAGTTTTGGTCCACTAATTTTTAGGTGTTTCTCATTTTCGTCCCGTTATTTATGTGGGTCCGAATTGGTCCAATTTGATCCCTAACAGCAGAATCCGACAGTTATTTAAATTTAAGAGTTATTGCACCAATTTTGAACCTCAATTAGATACTGGACAAAAATGAAAAACATTATATGTTAGTGGGGCTAAAACTACAATTTTTCCAATGAATTCGTGGCTCCAATGTTATCAAAAAATGTAATGGTAACTTTTATAATATGAAAGTGGAGTCGGAGGCGTAGGCGTGGCTTCGGAGGCAGTGTCCCAAAGACCGGGTGTCAAGGCGAGGCACGGAGCCTTTTGTGTCGGAGGTGAGACTAGCTAGCGAGGCATCAAGGCGAGAAGCCTTTGTGTCGGAGGTGAGGCGAGACGGTGTTGGGGTGCCAAAGCCTTGTCGGAGGAATCTTTGTGTCCAGGGGCAGAGCCGAGTCGAGGTGAATTTGAGAAGTGAGAAGAAAGGAGGTGTCGAGAGACTGTAAAAGCGTGAGTGAGACCAGAAAACCCTAAGTATTTAGTTTATATATTGTATTATATATAGAAGTATAAAAATAAAAAGCATGTCAGGTCGGGGCAGGGCGAGATTTGTTACTTGGACCTAGCCTGCTTGGCTAACGGGTCATACCTGGCGCGACCCTTTTTAAAACATGAAGGTTTGGCCTGCCCCAAATGCTTCGGGTTGGGTCAGGTTGGGCCGTGAGACAAATTCAATCGCAATTCAAATTTAACTCACCTCAACCCTCTTTAATATTATCAATATAGTTGAATAATAACAATCAATTATCCTTGCAAATCTCACCAATTGTAATTCATTTTTCCATCACTTCTCTTATATTTTTAAATCAATTCGAGGCTCGTGAAACAAATCTACGGATTGCCAATCGCCTCCGACCCACAACCATTCCTCTTGAAAACCGTGAAGAGTGTCAGGGATCTCGGTAATGAAATCGCCGATTTTGAAACCGGTATGTGTTTTTCCTCCAGCGAAGAAACAACAGAAAGTCTCCACAACCTTTCTACCTGGACTCCTCTTAAAGGCATAAATGCTCGTTATGCCATCACAAGAGGGTAATTCATCATATCCTTTCTCATTCAACAAAATCATCAACCTCAAGATCTTTTTCCAACTGTTCGGGGTAATTTGACACAAAGGAAATCCCCAATCATGCACATACTTCGTAATTATGTTTGGGAGGGGATACCTCAATCCTGACCTCAAACTCTTATATTAGCAAATATCCCTATGCAGCCCGGAGGGGGACGAGTAATTTTTTCACCAGGGTAGGGAGAAAATAACTTAACTGATTGCGGAATCCAAATTTGTTCTCGGATTAATACCACTTCAGCATCCGTCAAAATGCTCGGCTCGCCCCAGAAATCTATGTCCGATTCCGGCCACTTCCTAATGGGCCGTCTCAAATAATCCGACAATACATCTGCTTCACTTTTTCGTCTCCTTTTACATTATTGGGTTAGATATCTAGATGCATCACCAAGATTGGATCTCATCGATAATATTCAAAGGCTAAGTCTACCAGTTCGGGATCATGATAAATCTCAGCAGGAGTCGAATTATAATTTTTAACTATCCGTCATTTTCAATCATTTCTCTCATATTTTTAAATCAAATCAACTTTCATCATTTTATTTTAAATATTAATTCATACAAAATCAAAATCCTACTCAAACCTAACTCAATCAGCTTTCTTAAAATTGACTTTCACATTAACCGAAAAATTCAATCAAAACAAAAAAACTTATATCCAAGCAACCCCTTTTATTATATTGGTTTTGAAAGAAAATATTTAAGATTTTGAAAATAGTGTAGCATGTACTAATTATGGTGAATAATTTTTCCTAAAATGTACTTTGACTAATAAGGAGGTGATGGAACATTTGCTTTCCATTGTTTTCCCGGTCTTTTATGTTCAAATTTAATGATGGTTGAATTTCTAGCTTCTTCCACTTCTTATTCAAAAGTTTTATGTGATTATAGTGTTGTAATAAATTTGAATTCACATCAAAGTTGGTTGAGGATGTAATGCTTTCATCATTATAAGCTACAAGCAAATTATTAATTATAATAAAAAGGTTGTGATACTAATTGTGGATTGGTATTTACCCCCTCCCCCTATTACTAGTCACCGCATCCCCCCCAAATTACGAAAATACTCTTTACTATATTTTTGAATTCTCTCTCTCTAAACTCTCTATCTCTCTAAAACCGTAACTTCAACGACTCGTACGCACGTCAAAAAAATCCCCAAAAAATGTCGAAAAAATCCTACGGTCTCGGCAAAGCGTTCTTCTCTAGCAAGGTATTTTTTTTTTATAATTTAAATAATTTTTAAAAAATTTTTTAAAAAATC